AGCTGATAATCCCCGCAGGAGCTCGCGGGGAGGAAAGCGCTGCCTGGAAAATGCTAGGCGCGCACAGGAACCCCTCGGTGGAGGTGAAGGGGTTCCTCTTTTGAAACGCGGCTGGGTGGCCGCGCGGACGGGGCGGGAAGCCGCGCGGGCGGGGCAGGCGGGAAGCCGCAGAGAAGGGCGCGCGCGGCCAACTGCCCTCTCCGGCCCCTCACCTCGCTTGATCACATGCATCGCAGCTGGTGGCAGAGGCGCTGTGGGTCCGGAAGGTGGCGGAGTGCGAAGAGTCGACCTCCAGGAGCTGCACAAGTGCCGCGAGTGCAGTGGGTCCACGGAGCGCTTTTCCTCCGCAGAGCACTTTCCGCTGCCGAGACGAGACAATCCGAATCTCCTTCCCGCCACCCGTGACGCAAAAGCGACGCTACGCGGCTCGTCCGACGCTTCTACGCGGCCTGCGCCCGACGAGGGCAGGACTAGCTTTACACCAAGTCAGCCTTTCCCATTAGCCACGATGTTGAAAGGGGGCGGGGCCCACAAACGGCTGCTGTAGGACACGCCCGGCGGGAACGCGGCTCTCCGACCACATGGTAAGTATGGGCGGAGTCCAGCAGACCGCGCTGCTCCTGCAGCTGCTTTGGGTGTGGAGTCGACACTGATCTCTCGCCGCCATGTTGTGTGTGGGCAAAGCCTCAGCCGAGCTGAGGTCTCGCCACCATGTTGGGTGTGGGCAAAGCCTCAGCCGAGCCTGGGAGGGGACCTAGCACTCAGAGCCCGCCAAACCCGGCTCCCTCCGCTCTAGTCAAGGCGACCCCCGCTTAAGTCAAGACAATTCAAGTATTTTGAAATAACAACTAAAAGCCAACTATCCAAAACACTTTTTCTTGTCTTGACTATACTATTTTGGTAACACGAGTCGGCCGGCTGACCGCTATAGCCCGGGATGCGTAGCCGGAGGGATCCGGGCCGTTAGGCCAGCAGAAAGCCCCGCGCTGCTCCGTCTGGTTGGAAAAGAGCCTTGCTAGGCGAGCATTTTGCCCTGACGTTTTGAGAAAGGATAAGATCCATTTGCTTTTAGAGTTCTTCAGGGGACAGTGGTAGATACCGGGCCAGCCATAACGTCCTTGTGGGGGTAGAATGGGCATGGCTTGGTGGCTGATGTAGAAGCTGGTGATTGGAGCGACACAAACTGATTTTTATGAAAACTCATGTGGCGTTCTCTCCCTAAAATCTTGCATTGACTTTGGTAGGGGCAGAAATAGAGTAATGGGGACTGGCTGTAACTACAGGAAGTATTCATCGTGCTCTGTTAACTGTGACTGTTCTGTTCGGATTAGAGAAAGCACATTCTAACCCGGCTGACCGGGGAGCTAACAATCGGAATGCAGTCCATCCTCCTTTCCTGAGTGTTGCCTATCAAGGAGAGATTTACCACCTCAGATAGGCCAGAGGCACCCACCCTTTGCACACCTCCAGTCCCTATTGTCAGTAATCTGATCCCAGAGGTGCCTGGAGGCACCAGCCCTGATGGCTGGTAATCTGTAAAGATGATTACCTTCCTACTTTCCCATGCCTGAAATTCTTTCTTACTTTCCCCCCATAATCTTTGTCCTTCTACCCAATATAAGCAGCTGGGAGGGGCAGAGCAGATTTTTGTGGATGACCTGCTGCTCTCCCACACTGCGGGCATTATTGGAATAAATGCTCATATATGATTCAACCCTGTCCCTGCTTAAGTAGTGACGGGCAGCCCAGACCCATTGGTTGTCTTTGTGTGTGTGTTTTTAAATGTAATATTTATAGTCTTATAGTAATAATTCTTTGGCAGTATCCTCCAGGTGCATCTCAATCTCCCTACAAAATAAATTTTTAATGTGAAATACTAGTTTTTTTTTTCAGTTACAGTTTATATTCAATATTGTTTTGTATTAGTTTCAGATGTACAGCATAGTAGTTAGATAATCACATACTTTAGGTGATTCTCATGATATTTCCAGTACCATCTGGCACCATACACAGTTTTTACAATACTAGAGGCCCAGTGCATGAAACAGCTGCCAGCCAGGGCATTCAGTCCACACAGCATGCTGGTGGTCAGTGCACGTCCTCGTGAGTGATTGAACTCCTGAAGGGACACTGTGCATATTAGGTTTTTATATAGAGAGATTAGTGACTGTATTTCTTATGCTGTATTTTACATCCCCATGACTTTTGTAGCTACCAATTGTACTTCTTAATCCCTTCACTTTTTTCACCCAACCTCCCAAGCCCCCTCCCCTCTGGAAACCATCAGTCTGTTCTCTGTATCAATAAATCTGTTTTGTTTGTACTGTTCTTTAGATGCCTCATATAAGTGCAATATGGTATTTATCTATGACTAACTTATTTCACTTAGCATAATACTCTCTAGATCATCCATGCTGTTGCAAATGGTAAGCTTTCTTTTTTGTGGCTGAATAATATTCCATTGTATATATGCACCACTACTTTTTTATTTACTTGTCTAACGATAGACACTTGAGTTGCTTCCATATCTTGGCTATAGTAAATAACACTGAGCATAGGGGTGCATATATTCATTTGAATTAGTGTTTTAGGTTTCTTCATATATATACCAAGAAGTGGAATCTCTGGGTCATAAGGCAGTTTCACTTTTAATTTTTTGAGGACCCTCCATACTGTTTCCCCACAAGGGTTCCCTTTTCTCTACATCCTTGCCAACACTTGTTTGTTGATCTGTGAAATAATTCTAAGTCATTGGTCACAGGTTAGGTGGGGTCAAGATGGCCCAGAGAGCTGTGTGTGTGTGTGTGTGTGTGTGTGTGTGTGTGTGTGTGTGTGACTTTTTTTTTTTTTACCGTGGCTGGCTGTCTAAAGTATTTTTTAACAATATGTTTAATAATCAGTGCTTTAAAAGCAGTGGTTTCCTACAAAATGGATATTAAGGTCTAAGCCTGAGTGTGAAGTGAGTCAAGTCTGGTCTGGGGAGCCCCGGGTAGCTCGTGGACACACAAGCTGGTGGCAGGAGCCAGGTCGCCCTCAAGAGACAGGACCCACTGTGGCTGTGCGGCCCGTTTTTTCATTTCAGTTCATTTCTAATGGGATACAGTACTTCTTAAATAAGGAGCCATATTTTTAAGTTTGAGAAGCGAATGTGATTTCTAATTGTTATCAGACAATGTTTTAAAGCTATAAGAAAGTTTAAAATTTCTACATTTTGTTTTTCATTTATTGTAACTGTTCTTTTATCTATTAAATTGTATGTGGATGTGGAAGTTCTGTTTCTCCTCTTAGCATTTGTTTCTATAACCAGAAATAAAGTTATATATTAAAGAAACGAAAAAAAAAAAAGATGGGATTGCCAGATTTAACAAATAAAAATCATGTGTACCAAATGTTGCATGGGACATAATTATACTCAAATCATCATGCTTATCTGAAATTCAAATTTAACTGGGAGTCCTGTATTTCATCTGGTAATTCTACCCAGAGACCTTTTGGGTCTGTGTCTTAGTTTCATTTTCTCTTGACAGAGCAGAAATAGTCTCTTCTTCATCCTGTCTGCTATGCCACAAAGAAACAGACAACACCATAAGATCAAAGCCAGCAGAGGTTAAAATCTCCTACATGCTTTATTGGACTTCAAAGAGTCTTATGAAATAACACAGAAAAACCCATGTGAGGGTGTCCAGGGGGTACAAGGCAGTCTGCAGCCTACCCCCCTCCTAAGACCAGCCCCAGGTGCCCTCACCCCAGGTCCAAAATAGGATCCCAGAGTAAAGGCATGTCAAGGAGTGAGGCAGAGGGAAAGTATCTTTATAGCCATAGCAAAAATAGGTGGGGAAGAGAATTGTATAGAGGGTGGGGAAGGGTGAGAGGAAGTGGTTACGTGGTCACCTTTACCTACACCATCTTCCTTAGGCACACCCTTCCCTAAATCTGCTGTGTCCTTTCTGAGCCTTTGGCCCAGGGTATGCAGTAACATGAAAATGGTGCTGATAAGGGGAGTATGTGGTGCAGGCACTTGGGAAATTCAGGATTTTTCTTCTTTTAAATTTTAAACTGTCTTTTGGTTCAAATGCAACATCCTGCCCAACAGCTCCAGGGCCCCATTAGAGACCTGTGTCATGGCTGTGGCTCCCATAGCCAGGGGAGCCATGTGCTGATTGCCAGGAGTCTGATGCTTGGGGAGCATTTGGGCAGCACCTTACAGACAAACCCTCCTACAGTGTGGGGGAGCAGGGATAAGAGAAAGGCAGGTGTGGATGAGAGAAGAGAGGAAAGGTGACTGCCTTGTGGCCCACAACTCTAGCATCTACTCCTCCAACTAAGCAGTCTCTCTCAGTTTATCCCTTAGCGTGGCCTCTCGTTATAATTCTCTAGCGGCTTGTTCTCTGGGAATTGGTTTCAGTCCCCCATGGACTCCTGGAGGCCTGAGTGAGCACCAGGCCATGATTTCCTCTGGCTCACCACATTCCCAAAAAACAAACCTCAAATAGTAGGCCCTAGGACCCAGTTGGGGGCAAAGAGAACCATCGTAGGTGGGGTGGAATAAATCTGAGGCACAGGTGTCAGAAGTTACCCCTCCTATCTTCCCTCATAGCTGCTAGGGGAAATTGGGGAGTGGTGCGAGGGAAGGGACTCAAAGCAGGAGACAGAGAAAAACAAGAAACCAAACCTCAAAACTGGGACAGCAGAGACAGAAGCTGGACCTCAGAGGTGGAGCTGGTAGCTGAGGGGACAGCAACTAAGACATGCACTGAAGTGGAGAGGGAGTGATAGCAGCAGCCCATAGTTGGAGGGAGGCAGGGCAGGCAGGCCATGGTGGTCAGTTAATAAATAATGTTGAAGGACCCAAGGATGAGGGGGGCAGGTATCTACAGTGCCCAGGCCCCTGCCAACCCCTCCCCGCCCCACTTTAGGGGCCAGTATCTTGGAAGGCAGGAAAGGGGAGGCAGAAGACCAGGGAAAGATAAGGGGTCCTGCCACTGCCACCCTCATTCTGCCTACTTCTTAGGTTTCTTAAATATTTTGAGGGGAAACTTCTTCCGGCCTGGGCTGGAGTCTGCCTCCTCGCCAATAGAGCCATTATCCTCCTCAGCCGCAGCTTTCTTGCCAGCCAGGTGGGGAATTCGTGTATTTCGGCTGGCTTGTGAGGCTCGGCTGTCCCCGACTGGAGATGACATGTCTGGGTCTGGGGAACTGGGGCTGTGAGAATGGAAAGAATCCAAAGGTGGAGAGCCGCCAGGTGGGGCTGAGGGGCTCAGCTCCATCAGGCTGTGGGCCTTGTCCAGCCCGTGGTTCAGCGCCAGTAGAGCCTTCTTGGCCAGGGCAGGGCTATCAGGCAGCTTCTCCATCGCAGAGCCTGGGTGGACCCCCTCGATCATCCGGTGGCTGCCGTTGGAAGTCAGGGCACTGAGAGCCTCATCTGCAGCACGGGCCATCTGAGGAGGCTTGGGGACCATTCGCTGGCGGTCACTCATATGGAGGGAGGACTCCGAATCGGAATGGGTCAAATCCCTGAAAGACAGGACAAAGGGGGGAAAAGGAACGCATACAGGACAGAGGAGAGACAACATTGAAAAGACAGGACAGGGTATGAAAATGGGGGTAAAGAGAGCAGCCAGAGAAATAAAAAATAGGATGAAAAGGCATAGTGGGAAAGAGAAGGATGGGAAACAGAAGGAAAATTAGTAGATCATAAGCACAGGATGACAGAGGAAGCAGGAATAGGGAAAGGGGATAAATTGGAGAAGAGACAGAAGAGAATAACATTGGGGAAGAAGGAAAGCAAAAGAAGCAGCAAGACCAAGGGGAGAAAAAAAAGGAGGCGGGGGAGTGATGGGGGAAGAAGAGACAGACAACAAGAAGCAAAAGCAAATGTCATTATATCATCATCCGTCGGGCAAAGGGCCCCACCGTGAAGAATGCCAGGCCCTAAACTAGGGCAACCGCAGGTTTTAATACCACAGCATTCTCCTCATAACATCTCAGCTTCCCCATAGCTGGTGGGATTTCTTAGGACTCAACCCTGGCTAACACAGAATCCACATCTTGCTCTGTGTCACCATTTTCCATGCCTTCCTCCACCACTTACTCATCACATCCTGGAACACATCCAGTCTGGGCCAGGCTTCCAGAAACAGGGCACATGCAGTAAGTGGGCCTGGCCCAGGCTGGGGAGGAGACAGTCAGAACAGCCTTGCAAACAATCACCCACCCAAAAAGGCCAGGGTGCTGCCTCCATCAACCCTCTCACAGGACTCAAAGGGGTCATAGAGAAGTGTTGCAGAGTTCAAACCAAAGTCGGCTGGCAGCAGGAAGGGTGGAATCTTTTTCAAAGCTCTGCTGCAAGGGAGAATGGAGAGAGGTGCAGAAAGACAGGGTGTTTGGCCTTTAAGCAGCAGTGGTTCAGAAGAGCTGCAGCACACTAGAAATCGTAAAGTTTGATTCAGTTCCCATCTCTGCCTGAGGTGTGGATAAGTCATCTAAACTTGCAGGTCCTCAATTTGGGCCAAATGAAGATAATACCAATTCAATCATCTTGCAAGACTGTTTGGGGGATCAAATACGTTGGCAAAGTACTTGGGAATGTAGAAAGTATAGTGGGAATGATGATGATGAGGCCGGTCAAGCTGAAAGACCCCCCTGGGGGCCAGTCACAAGAAGCTTCTTTGCAAGGCTGAGTTATGGGGGCGTGGAACTGCGCACTGACATGCACACACACAGGCTAGTCCATAAAGTTGAGATCCTTTCGGAGGTGGCAATACCTAAAAAAGCCATGAACCAATTCTGGATGCTACCCCTCCGGCCACTACAGAAAAGAAGGGTACATGTGGGGGTCCCCTACCAATCCCTTAACCTTCATTCAGCTTTCCCAGAGGCCTGAGAACCCAGAGCAGAGAAGAGGGCTAAGGGAAATGCTTAAATAAACAAGTCAGGAAGCCGAAGGGAAAGTGTTGGGAGTGGGAGAGGGGACCACCACAGGACCTGGGAAGAAGGAAGCTTGTGGGTCAAAAATTAGGAAAGGCTCCAGGCTCTTAAAATAGGCAAAAGCAGGAGGTTGGCTCATAGCTATTATACAGGAATGGGCAAAAGTCTGTTTACTAGTATAGTTGAGAGTAAGCAAAAACAGTTAATTCTTATGTTTTTATTTATTAGTTATTGTATTATTTCCCTTACAAATAAAGACAAACCTACTTTTGCCCCACCCTGTAGGTTTAATTCTCAGTAGGAAACAATTAACTAAGCAGCTACCCCAGGAGTCAGTACCTTCCTAGAGATAGAAGATAGCAGAACACAATTCTATCTCCAACTCCTGTTCTACAAACACTGTTTCAGCCACATACTCTTGTGTTTACCAATATCTGGTCTCATATTTGTTTTCATAATATCTTTTGCTGTTCTTGCTTCTATGTAAATGTACCCTTTCTTCTCTAAACCCTAAGATGATCCTCTCCACATCCTGCCTTTTCCTCATACAGACCAACCACCACTGAGCATGATGCCAAGGAAGTTCTGAGGAGCAACACTGGAAAAGGGGCCCTTGAGGCCGAGGTGGTAAGGCTCCTAGGATCCTACCTTTCTTTTTATTGGGGACGAGGGGGTTTGTTTTATTTCTTATTGACTCAAGAGAGAAAGAAAGGGAGAAGGACAAATAAGTAATGCCTTAATTTAAAAAATAATAAAAATTTAAAAAAGGGAGAGAGAAAAAGAGGAGAAACATTGATGTAAAAGAGAAATGTCAATCAATTGCCTCCCCAGGTGCCCCGATTGGGGATTAAACCCTCAACCTGGGTATGTGCCCTGACCAGAAATCAGACCTACAACCTTCTGGTACACGGGATGACATTCCAACCAACTGAGCCACACCAGCCAGAGCGGAGCCTACCTTTCTGACGCCAAGGAAGAGAGGTCAGACTCTCTCTTCCAGGCCCACAGCCCCATTAGGTCATGTTTCCCATCTTTCTATGCCTTTCCCATCAATTAAAAGCTGAGACTCTCAAAGAAAAGAAAAGAACTTGGGAGGAAGCCTGGGTATATTTAGGAGAGATAAGGTCTACTGAGGCAAGCTCATCTTCCCTCCCTGAATCTTTGAGACAATTCAGGCCAGTGGTATCCCTCCCCAAAGGCTGGGCTGCCTTGTGCTCCCATCCCAAACTACTAACCTTACTAGAGAGCCTGTTAGCCTTTAGAGACGATCCTCTGGTGCATGGTGCAAAAGAAAATTAAGCAGTGAATAGGCCAGGTGGATGTAGGTACCTTCCCACCCACCCTCCCCACTGGCCTCTGCATGGGCCTTGGAACATAATGTTTGCAGCATCTTCTAGTGCCCCCAAATCAACTCAGTATCTCCATCTGTTTTGGGGAAAAGCAGTCTCCCTGGATGGGATTTTGGATGAAAATGAGGATGAGAATGAAGATGAGCTCTGCTAAGCAATAATGCAAGTAAAGACAGTTCCTTGTGAAAGAAAAAGGAACAGCCCTCAAGGATAACTATCCAGAGCTAGAGAGCTTGGTATCCAGAGTGAGGCAGGACCAAAACGAAGCAACAGGGTAAGCAGGATGCAGCCCAAAGGCCAGGACTGGGCCATGGTTACAATTTCAGAGATGAGAGGTTCTTCCAGAGGAGATAGACTTTCTGAGGGCAAGTTATTCCTAAGCTATTCCAGACAACATCAAGGTAGCTCTCTCAGAGCCTAACATATCATTTTGAGATATCAACAGGGCAAGTCCCTACAACTGCCAAATCAAACTGTGGGAGAAAGCTTCCCACTAATTCTTATATGACCTTGTGGAAGGATAAAAATATCCAACAATATCCTAGAATGGAAAACCAAGTTCCAGTCTATGTTCTGCTCCTAATTAGTTGTGGGACCTGAGGAAACTACTTAACCTTTCAGAGCCTTAACTTCCTATTCTATTTTGATACGTGCCTTACCTATAAACTCTTCTTGTCCAAGACCCCTAAACATGTTTACCCTCTTCTGTTCCCTAATTCCAAGTGTTCTCACAGACTCCTCCTCCTTCACCCCTCATGGCCAGGAATAAATTAATCCTCTCCTCCATCCCCTAGTGGTCTACTACAATGACTTCCAAATTCCTGTTGTTTCCTTCTCCTTTTCTTATTTAATCCACTAATATGTTATTTCTAAAATGCAATCTCATCAATTAACTTCCCAGTAGAAACTCTTTTGCAGTTCTCTGTCTCTTTAAGGGTAATGGCCAAAGCCCCTAGCCATTCAGAGCCCTTCATCATTCTAACCTCATTTGCTACCCCTTCACACCAACACATATCCAATGTTCTAACCACAAATATCAGATTCCTTTGAATTTCCAATGTCTCTGTATGTTTCCTCAGCTTAGAATACATTTTCTCCTTTTACTGCACATTAGATGTTAGCACAAATGCCATCTCTTTTGTGAAGTGTTCCACACACTGTTAGTCACTCCCTCCTCAGTACCCCCATAGCACTTAGCAGATTGTTCCATAATTATTTATGTACCTCTCCCAGGTCAGACTGTAGTCCTTGATGAGTGGGATTGTTTATTATCATCTGTGAATTCTCATGCCCAGCAGAAGCTGGCACAGAGTAGGTATCATTAAATGTTTGTTGAAGTAAAGGCAGTGAGGTCTCCACTGAGATAAAGATGTAAAAGTTCATAGTTTAGGCAAAAGTGCTACAGGACCATGAGGGAGGGGGTTAGATTCCTCAAACCCCAAACACAGAAGGAAGAAAGGTGTGAGGAGTTATGCTGACCTTAAGGAATCCCAGGGCTGAGAAAGGACACACTGCACACACACCCATAGCTGACCAAGCAGCAGTCAGCAGGCAGAGGCCAAGGAAAAGGCAGCAGAAAGGGAAGGAAGGGAAGAAAGAGAGACAGCTGATACCCCAAGCTCTCTGATTGCCCAGGCATCACAGTGGTGCTGTCACAAGTGGGTGAGTCAGAGGAGGGATCCATCTGGAGAAAATAGGAAGTGCTTTGGTGGTAATAAACAGGGTGGACATGGATGGTGGTGGTGGTGGCGGCTGCAGTGGTGGTGGTGGTGGTAGAGGAGCAGGAAGAAGGAGAAGCAGAGGCAGATGGAGAGCTGGTCCCATGGCCTTCAGAACTGAAAGACTGTCCAGATGAAAGGCTGCGCATTCGCCGCAGAGATACCCGGCTTGTCAAGAAGTGGCCAGCCTCACCCTCTACCAACCTCTGAGATCCCAGGCCATGCTGTGGTTCCGTCAGGCGCTGCCGGACACTACTTTGCAGGCTTGGGGCTGCAAGGAAAGTGAAGACAATATGAGGAAGGGCCAGCCTACTTTGGGCTAGCAGGCAAGCAGGTGTGCCCATGGAGAAATGCCTGCTGGAGACCACTCTGGGCCTCTAGTGCCCCAAAACCTCCCACCAGGGGTCCTAAAATGGGGAAATTGAAGATAAGTTGCCTGGGTCAGTTTTAGTGGCAATTCCAATGGAAAGTGACCAAGGGCCAACATAACTATAAAGGGATATGACAAAGCAGTTAGTGGGAGGACACAGGCAGGACAAGGTAGGATAGGGGTTAGGGGAGAGGTTCGGGAGAGCACTAAGAACCAACCTTTCAGAAAGCCAACCTCAGGAAATAATTCATAGTTTAGACAAGGATTTATAGACAAACATGTTCATCACATCATAATTAGTAGTTGTGTGAAAGCAAACAAAAAGGTGGAACAATGAGACAATGATTATATATCCAGTTACTGGAAGATAATATACCTATTAAAAATGCTATTTATGAAAAGATTTTAAATGCACAGAAAAATGCCTATTAACCAGTTAACTGCCACGTGTCCAAAACGAAAGCCATCCTCACACGCCACAATATTTTTAATTAAAATACATAAAAATAAATATATTACTCATAACTCGCATGTTCTTGAATATTTATTTTCAGATAAATTCTCACGAAAAATAATTTTAAAGTTGGTCAGGGCTGCTGCTTAGGGAAAGCCTTTTTTTTTTTTTTAAATAGATGCACGTGGCGTGTGGGGAAGGTCCTCTGCTTGCATCTACAGACGCCTATGGCGTTCAAAGGGTTAAAATGCTCAGGGCAAACCAAAGGACACAATATTTTTTATAAAAGAAATACCTTGAACTATGGAATACAAAAGATTATAGAGTTTGAAACTAGGCCTTTTTACTTCTAGCTGTGACCTTGAACAACTGACAGTCCTATTTTAATGCCTAACTTAAAAGTCCTGTAAGATTGTCGTAAAGCTTCAAGATAATGTATTTAAAGTACCTGAAATGGTTTATGGTACTCAATAAATGATAGTGGTTATCATTATCTTGACCACATAAAAATTATTTTAAAATCTCACAAGAAGACTGAAAGAAAAGACGCTCATAAATGGTGGGACTATGGATGCCTTTTTTTGTGCTCATGCTTACCCTTTTTACTACTTGAATTTCCTCTAATAAACATGTAAACAACAAAGAACCAGCTCTTGAGTCAATGCTGCCAAATCAGGCTCTTGGAAGCTGATGGCCACCATGCCCAGTGACGGGGTCTACGTGGGCACCAGTAACTCAGGAATGTGCTAGAGCATACCCCTTGGGCTTACTCCCAGCCCCAGCTGAAAACAGAATTCACACCTTTGTTTTTTCTCCTCTACCTTGATAGATGGGCTTCCCTGCCTTCTCCCTAAAAATAGGAGAAAGGGCCAGGTTATAAGGGTGGCAGAAACCTTGGAAGGACCACCAGGGAGAAAGCAAAAGTCCATGGTGATGGGCTGGGGAGGCAGGGCTTCTATGGCTGGTGGCCTTCAAGGCATCAAAGCAGAGTGGAAGAGAAAAAGGAAGCATGAAATAGGGAGGGAGAAAAAAAGAGAAACCGAGAAATAAGGGAAAAACATAAAAAAGAGAAAAGAGGAGGATAATCTTTCCTTCCCTCTTTCCATCCCAGCCCAGCTGGAAGAGGGGCCACCAGGACAACTGTCTAGCTGGGCTGAGAGGCGAAGCCTAAGCCTTCCATCACCATGGGTGTTCTCTCCAGCCTTCATCTGAGCAGGCTGGTTCTTCTCACCCCCGAACCTCTCCCTGCAGTTAGTAAGGACAGTGCTTGGAATTGAGGGAGCAGGCAGGGGAGTGAGGCAGGCAGGCAGAAGGGGCCCGTGGAATAGGAGTGTTGGTTTAGTCCCCAAAATTGGAAAAACAAAAGCCCCAAAGGGGATCCTCAAACCGGGGTATTTCCAGAGGGACTGATCATCCGAGCCGGCGGATGTTGAGCAGAGAGAGCGGTCACTGAACCTACGCCCCATCAGCCAGGCAGCATCTAGGGTCCAACAGCCAGGCCAAAAGGAGAAGAGAATCTGATTTACAGAGGGCTTTAACTTGCCCACCAATGGGATAAGGGAAGGGCCAGGGGGCAAGGGGTGGGTAGCTCAGAGCTAACGATGGGCCCTCCCAACCCAGAGAACATAGGAGCCTTTAGATCAAGGATCAGGCTCTGCCTGCCAGTGACCCTGACCTTGTTGCCCTGAAAAGATATCAGAACAGGGAGATAAAGAGTCTTGGCCAGAGGCAAAATATCACTGAAAATTTTACCAATAAGTCCTGTCTGGAGCCGGAATCCATCGAGATTAAAGAATCTGGATTTCTGAAAGTAAGCCCCTAACCCAGGCCCAGGTTTTTACCATCCCTTCTGCCCCCATGGAATATGACCCGGAATAACAGGGGGTTTTTTTTGTTTTTTTTTTAAAGGCTCTAGTCTATGTATCTAAAATAGCCTCTGATCCAGAGAAAACCTCAATTGGGCCAATAAGGGTTAAGTTCCTTTGTTCACTGAAGAATTCCCACATAGTTCTGTCTCTTTCAACTCTGTTCTACTTAGCCCTTATCACTCACAGAGGAGACAATGGAAAGGAAAAAGACCCAGGACAGAGGGTGGGGAGGTCCAAGAGTTCAGGTGGAAAACCAGACATGCTTGCTTGTACAGGAGACGTCACCTGGACAAGAATGTCTTTCTGGTTTGGGAGATTTAGGGCTATTTCACTTTAAGGGGCTGTTGCTTCCTGGGGTCTCATACAAAAAGTCAGAGAGGAAGAGACATTCTATTAATCTACATTAGCAATTAAGAATAATGTATATAAAATGAAAACAAATTAAAGCAATAAAATAAATGAGTTAAACTAAATGCCATTTTCATATCATTAACCACTAAGGAGATGATTTTTACAAAGGCAGAATAAAGGGATTTAAAAAGCACAGAGTGAAGGGAGACACACTGAATACAATAAACCCAGAAGGGCAGACAGCATAAAGCAAGGAAAAACACTGAAAGGACAACTATAAAGGAATATCTGGTGACAATTGTGCTTTAACTAAGGCTATGAGTTGAACTATCTTCCTTGGTATCTGCTCCATGTGCTGTTTAAGCATGGCAGTGGCCAATTACTTAAACCCACGTGTGCATCAAAGACTCCTCTCCTCATCCCCGCCCAAGAGATCACCTACACTGCATGGACAAGGGTGACACAATCTCCTCATCCATGTCATCCACGTCGTCAGTCATGATGAAGTGAGCAGGGTTGTGGCGTGTGCTGCCCATCCAGTTGGGGTCTATGTTGAGAGCAGCCACCAGTGAGTGGATGCCAGGGTTATTGACAATCTGGAAGCCGCAGAGGATTTCAATCTGCTGCCAGCGGTGCAGGCGCTCCCGCAGAGCTGCTGTCACCTCGCTCAGAGCTTGCCTGAGGACAGATAAAAGAGAATTGCAGGCATGGGCTGGGTGTGAACCCCAGTAGGCATGAGGTCTCTTAGAGGAACAACTTGAGAGATATGTATAAATAAGGAACACAATTAAATCATAAACTTAATAGCAAGATCAGAACTAGATAAGGCCTGGGACAGGAAATCAGAGCTGTCCTGATACCAATGAAGAAGTAGAATTGGAGATGGAAGCCCTGTACAGCCTCGAATTCTGAGATTGGGATGGACACCTCCAGAGCTGGGCAAAAGGAGCTACTTACTTAGCCGTTAGGATTTTGTGATCCACATCATCTAGGGAAGAGCTGTGGGCCACGTGGAAGGTGCCAAAGAGTGTGTTTCTCTTCTTTTTTATCTTCTCAGCCTGCAAAGATGAGACCCTCAGATTAAAAAAAAAGCAGGGATTAGAGTTTGAGGAATATTTTTCTGTAGTTGGGTCCTCCTTTTATCACAGCTTAGGCTGCACAAGCAAAAGGTAGAGAAGATGGGAAAGGAAAAGGAAGACAAGGGGAGGGAAAGAGTACAGGAAGAAAGAAATTAGAGGAAACAAGATAAGCGAAAGGATCCCGTCAGTACCCTAGCACCAGGAGGATGCTGCCCCCGTGGGTCTATGGCTGGCGGTCTTCCGTAAGCCTGACTCCATTTGCTGCATTTTCCTAGAAGGCGAGACGGATACCCCCACATCCTCCTACTTGCTCCAGAAGCTTAAAGAAAGTATTAGAAGCTGTCTATTAGGAAAAGAAACAGAATCCAGCACTAGGATCTCTCTTTGTCCAACAGTAAAGATAAGGAGAGACAGAGAGGAGGAAGAAGGGCAGGTGAAAGGGAGGGAGGTGAGGAGAGGAGGGCAGCATGAGGGTATGTCTTACCCCCTCCTTGGCCACCAGCAGCTGTTTCTCAGCACTTTGCTTCTTGATGTTGTAGTACTGCACCTCCACCTCATGGGTCAACTGCAGCCACTTCTGAAGGGCATCTGGAGCGTACCAGGAGCTGTGTGACTCTAGCTCCTTCTCTGCTTTTCTCAAGGCCTCCCGAACCTGTGCAGCCAAGAGGACGTAAGTCCATTTATTACTACTATGACCTCTCCAATGCCTCTGTATCATACTTCAGAGTTCTTTTAAAAAATAATTTTATTGATTTCAGAGAGAAAGGAAGAGGTAGAGAGAGATAGAAACATCAATGAGAAGAGAGAATCATTGATCAGCTGCCTCCTGCACACCCTCTACTGGGGATCAAGCCCGCAACCGGGGCATGTGCCCTTAACCAGAACTGAACCTGGGGACTTTTTAGTCCGCAGGCCAAGCTCTATCCACTGAGCCAAACCGGCTAGGGCAGAATTCAGAGTTCTTAATCTGCTATCTTATATGAGCTTTATAATTCTCCAAAGAGGGAGAAAGGGCAATGATTATTCTCTGTATTTTATATACAAGGAAGCAAACTCAAGAGGAGGAGCTCAAGAGGAAGAAAGTAACCTACTCAAGGTCACACTGAAAGTAGAGTAATCCCCCTTATCCACAAGGAATAAGTTTCAAGACCCCCAATGGGTGCCTCAAACCATGGGTAGTGCCAAATCCTATATATACTATAGCTTTTCCTATATGAACATACTTTGTTTTTTGTACTTCACTTTATTGCACGTCACAGATTTGGTGTATTTTACACATTGAAGGCAGACACTCCTCCAGCAAAAAGATTACAACTGGCTTTATTGCAGTTGTCTAGAACCAAACCCACAACATCTTCGAGGTATGCCTCTACACACAAACACTTCAACAGCTTCTTTTGAGCATATCTGAATTGCCAGCATCACTACTCTTGCACTTTGGGGCCATTAGGAAGAAAAATAAAGGTGACTTGAACACAAGAACCATGATACCAGATCAGTTGATATGATAACCAATATAGCTACTAAATGATTACTTGGCAAGTAGCATAGACAGTGTAGATACACTGAACAAAGGGATGATTCATGTCCCAGGTGGAATGGAGTGGGACAGCACAAGATTTAATCACACTACTCAGAACTGTGTGCAATTTAAAACTTATGAATTGCTTATTTCTATAATTTTTCCTTTAATAGAGTTGAATTGCTATAGAAAGCAAAACCTCAGGTAAGAGGGGACTACAGTAGCAAACCAGAACTCAAATTGAGGTTTTTTAGCTACCAGACTAGAGCTCTCTTTTTCCACAATAAGTGCCTCTCCTGGTCATGCAGCCAACCTCAGTAATCTTCCCTCTCATTTCAGGCACAGGTCAGCCCAATGAATAATCATCTTTCCAAGAGTTGGGGTCTGTGCTTGGACCTCAAGACATCACAATGTGGATAAAACAAAAAAACCCACTTGATTAGGAATTCAGAAGACTGGTTCTGGTCCCTGGTCTGTCATTCAGCTAGCAGTATGACCCTGTGCTTCCTAAACCAGATCTCCATTCAGTGTGAGGAAAGACTTTCTGGATCTCAGCAGAGAGGGAGCTCTCTATCAGGAGAGTTATGTGAAGATCTCATGTCATAGAGACCTTAAAAATGATTGCTATTCCAGAAAGGAATTGACTTGAATGATCTCCAGAGTCTCCTCCACCCAGATGATTCTCTCACTGAACAGGCAGATAGGCTTTGAAGGGCACTCTTCAAGGTGAGAAGACAAGAAGCATGCTTACACCTAACAATGAGCGTTGCCACAGAGACCAAGACATGGACGGACAATGTGTAAGCATAAATATCCTCACTGACTTCTCAGCAGGATCATTCAATGAAGCTGACAATCACAAGGCACTCAAATGAGAAAGGTCTGAAAATACATACCTATAGTACACACATTGGATGAGTTTCAACTCACTCAGATTACCAGTATAAGTTTTCTACAACTCCTCCATCTGGACACTGACCTTCAGCTGCTCAGAATCCGAGCAAAAAGGGATTGACAGCCATCTCACTGTGCCCACATTCAGCCAATGGGACAAGTATCCCATAGCAAGCCTGAGGTCCTCTCGACAGCCTAAAATAGGCCAGGAAGGCCTTAACTAAGGACAGAACATCTTTATTCCTTAGCGAGCTAATAAAGTCAATTTTCCCTTGGATTTTGTTCCTTGAAAAAGAAACTATTAAATGACCCACTTCTGCCTTTGTATACTTAAAATGAAGGATCTATCTTAGCATCTAATACACCAAGTCTACAAGTATATGATCAAGTTCTACATTAAAAGCATTTTAAGGAATAGAATAAGCTAAGAAGGGGAGAATGGAGAAAGAAAGGAAAAAGAAACCAAATAGACGGGAATGTGGTAGTTGGGGAGGCATACAAAAGGATTGGCCTAACAGGCTCAAAAACTGTTTAATGGGAGAAATAATTACAAAATAGGAAACAGGGAATGAGGATATAGGAGGCAAAGAGACATACAGACATATCTTGTGCACACAATTAACAACTACCTTAAGGAGAAGACAACAGATAAGGGCTGGGACAAGTCAGAGTTTACAGTCCTATTCTCTTATTCTATGCCTGTGTTTCTCAACCTTGTCACACTCTAGAATCACCTGGGGAGCTTTAAAAATGCTGATATCTGGACTATAACCCAGATTCTGATTTCACTGAACCAGGATGTTGGCTTGATCATCAAACAACTTTTTATGTGATTCTAAATTGCAGCAAAGTTAACCACTGATCTATGTGCTTTAAAGTATTACCACCTTACTTTCACCTCTACATAGAACGCAGTAGGTCATGTCAAAAGAATAATTCTGATAAAAAAAAAAACATCTGGGAAAAGCTTAGTATAAGTTATAAATTTTTAAAGGTAAATTGTTATAATTATTAAACATTTCAAAGACATAGAGCTTAGGAGCAATAAAGAATAGATCATCAGTTACCAAACTGTAATCCAAAGATCTCTGAATGTCCCCAAGACCCTTTCAGAGCATCTTTAAGATCAAACTATTTTCACAAGTAATACTAAAAATTATTTACTCTTTTCATTCCCTTTCTTTCACAATCGAACTGTGAAGTTCTCCAGAGGCTGCATGATGAGTGATATCACAACAGATTAAATATAGACATTAATAATAAGAAGCCTGCAGCCTATTAAGCCAGACATTTAAAATAATTGCAAAATTATTTTTAAAAATCACTCTTCTCATTAAATTATTTCTACTTTGGAAAACCTAGTGATTTTTCATAAAAAATGCAGTATTTTTTGTATGTTAACATTTAAGGGATTTAATATTCTTTTAAATTAATAAATATTTTTTAACTTCCCAAGTTTTAATTAAAAAAAAAACAAACATTTGATTTTAGAAAGAAAGGAAGGAAAAGAGACAGAAAGGGAGGGGGGAAAAAAAAGAGGGGGAAAAAAAAAAACATTGGTTTGTTGTTCCACTCATTTACACATTCCTTGGTTGTTTCTTGCATGTGCTCTGAGCAGGGAACTAACCTGCAACATTGGCATATCCGGACAATACTTAACCAATTGAGCTACCTGGTCAGGGCCTCAGTTGTAATTTCTTACAGGGTAAATAGCAACATATTGCCTCCCATGAAAACATTCTCTAAGATCCTTAATAATTTTTTAAGAGTAAAAGGGTCCTGAGACCAGAAAGTATGAGAACCACTAGATTAGATGAACTAAAAATCTAGAGAAGGAAAAGCCTTTCTAGAGGGAACTGACAATTGCCATCCATTTTCTTCCCTGAAGACATTTGATGATTCTAGGTGAAGGCTGAGAATTTGGTCTAGGCCAGGCAGAAGGACTCCACTGGGAGACAAACAGCCTAGCTTTTGTTTATAGTACAGTACTAACCTAACAAATTGGAAATTGAGGGGTTCCCAACATACACTCAGCTTTCTTTGTTGGGCATTTACTGAACCCGGAGCTGTGCAGGAAAATAGGTACCTAGGCCAAAGAATGAAACAAAATCTCCCATATTTTCATAATGATTAGGAGGCAAAATATTGCAAGGATGGGACCTGCCTCAGACACACAGCCTTTCCCTAAAGACAACTGCAAAATTTTGAAGCTATGAGGAGCAGAAGGTTAAAGAGCTAAGTTAAAAATCTCCAAGTTGCCGAAACCGGTTTGGCTCAGTGGATAGAGCGTCGGTCTGCGGACTGAAAGGTCCTAAATTCGATTCCGGCCAAGGGCATGTACATCAGTTGCGGGCACATCCCCAGTAGGGGGTGTGCAAGAGGCAGCTAGTCGATGTTTCTCTCTCATCGATGTTTCTAACACTCTATCCCTCTCCCTTCCTCTCTGTAAAAAATCAATAAAATATATTAAAAATAAATAAAATAAAGCCAAAACATAATTTAAAAAAATCTCCAAGTGGCAGAAATGAAATATCTCATAGTCTTTCAGGATGAAGAGAAAAAAATCCACCAGCTCTCATAAAAAGTTAGGAAAGAACTTGCCTGAGACACTGTGACAAACGCGTGCTAGACCAAGTCTTACTAAAACTACAACCCAGTTCCAAAAGAGCTCAATCTCTGATTGACTTGAGGTGATTAATCCTCATCCTATATACCTAACAGAATGAAGGGAAAACCTATATTTGATGAAACTTAAATCATCTGGAACCTCTATTTTTTTTTTTTTTGTATATGCTGTTTAGACTTTAATAAAAATAAATTACTAGATATGATAAGAGGCAGGAAAATATAACCAATAATCAAGATACAGAATTTCTATAAATGATTCAGATATTAGAGTTACCAGACCAGGACTTTAAAATAAGCACAAATGGAAAGTTAAAGAACAAAACATAATTGAAACATAGAAATTTTAGAAAGGGAACTAGAACTATAAAAGAATAAAATGAACATTCTAGAACTGAAAAATATATTATCTGAAAGGAGGATTTCACTGAATAGCTTAAATAGTGCAATGTTCACAGCAGAATACAGGATTAGAGAATTCAAGAATAGATCAATAGAAAATAATCAAACCAAAGCATGGAGAGAACAGAGCTGAGCCTAAGAGACAAATGGAATATAGTTAAAAGGTCAAACATAAATATTGGACTCCCAGGAGGAGAACAGAGAATGGAACAGAAGCAGTATGTGAACACTAAAGAAAATGTGTATTTTGTAATTTTTAATTTAAATGCTCTTGATATTGTTAAGGTCAAATTGAATAATCATGTTTAAATATCATATCCTTATTGATATTTTTGGCTGCTTATTATTGAGAAAGGTATGATTAAATCTCTCATTTTTACTATGAACTTGTCTATTATCCTTCTAGTTTTTTCAACTTTTGCTTTATATATTTTTAAATAGGTAAGTCCAAATTAAAGATTGTTACATATTACTGTTAACTCACACACTTATCATTAAGGAATATGTTTTTGTCTCTATAATACTTCTTGCACTAAAGTCTACTTTTGCCTAATATAGATATATTACCTCTGCTTTACTTTGCTAAATATTTGATCATATATCTTATCTCCTCCTTTTGCTTTTAACTGTTTTGAACGTTTTTTTGGAGGGAGAGGGTGCAATGGAATGACAAGCTAACATGGAAATGCAAAGAACCAAAAAGAGCCAAGGCCATCTTGAAGAAGAATAAAGCTGGAGAGTCCCAAATAAAATGGTCAATAAATTTAAGAAAAGGTTCAATATTATTAGTTATTAGGGAAATGAAAATTAAAAGGACAATGAAATACCACTACATCCATACCAGAATTTGAAAAATTAAAATGACTAAAAATACCAAGGTTGTAACTCAATTACAACTCTCACACATTGCTGGTGGTAGTATATATTGGCACAACTTTTTCAAAAAACTGTCTAGCAGTTTCTAATAAAGCTAACAGAAATAAGTGCTGTGCCCTCCAAGAGACATGAGCAAGAAAGTTCAAAAGCACTGTGATTCACAAGAGGCAAAAAACTGCAAACAACACAAATGTCCATCAAAGGAGAACAGATAAATGATAATAGTAAGCAATGATAATTACTCAGCAATGGAAATAAGCCAGAAATCATTTTATGCAATAACATAAATGACTCTTACAGATATAATGTTGAAAGAAACCAAACACACAAGAATATATACCATATAATGCCATTTATATAAGGTTCAAAATCAGATGAAACTAATCTGGCTTAGAGATTATGGCCATAGTACTTTTGGAAAGAATTGTGACAGTTGACAGGGAAAGGCAAAAGTGAGCCTTCTGGGTGTTTAAAAGATCCTGTGTTTTTATCTGAATGGTGGTTACACAGGTATATGCACAAGTAAAAGCTTGCCAGCTGTATACTTATAATCTCTACACTTGAGTCCATGTAAATACCTCAATTAAAAAATAACAAAATAATTGTTCTCACCTGTTACACACTGTTCTTTGAAAATCATAGTGAGCATTTTTTTGTGTGCAACTTTTCCATTATTCTTACTGGTAAGAGTCTAGTAACTCTTCAAGATATTCTTTGAGCCATATTTCAAAGTCCTCACACACAAAACTTTTCGTCCAGACTTTTGGGCCCTGCCCTTACCCATTGTGTCCAAGAATGTGTAGTCTCCTACCTGCTCCAGCTCCTCCTCAGCATATTTTTGGCGACTCCGCTCATTTTCAGTGCCCTCCCGCAGCTCCTTCAGTCGCTGGGCTTCCTGCTTGGCAATGTTGATCTCATCTCGCAGCTTCTTCTCCAGATGGACCTTCTCCACCTCCACTGTGCGGTGCTCCTCCTGGGCCTTGTGCAGCCTGGGGGGCGATGAGGGAGCTGGAGGAGGCCAGGCAAGGGGTACCAGCCACCACGCCATGAGTCATGGCATCAAAGAGGAAACTGAGGGCTCCAGGACTCAGCACATATTCTCCTTATTCTGTCGATTCTCTGGCTCTAAGTTAGTTCAGTGCCAACAGAAACCAGTCATTACCACAATTCTTATACTGGCCATCTGTTTGCTGCCAGTAATACAGTCTGTGAAGCTAGGTTCCCAGGTATTTGAATCCTTCCTCTAAGGAGTCTGACATGCTAAAATTATAACAACTGTTAGTTTATGAGATATTTCACATCTGTCCTTCCTGCAGATAATGACATATTCTATCATTATCAGCTTAAGACAGGCATGGATATAAAGGCTTGGAAAGGGGGAGTAGCTGCAGGTAGAAGCGAGACTAGAATTCCAGTCTGTATGATTTAAAATTCCATAGTTATTCCCCATTATACAAGGGTGTCTGGAAGGTTCAATATAAGTATAGATACCCTGCAAACTAGACCAAAGATCCAGAGAAAGCCTGATGGCTGAGTTATAAACAAGGTGGAGAGATTTAAGGAAGGTGAGAAAGGAACCATTGAGCTATCCAACCAATGCTTGGACTCATGAAAACCTGTTACCAGAAACATAGAAAAATTAAATTCATACCAAAGGGGCTCGGGAGAGCTTGGGAAAGCTCCCTGCTTCTCCAAGGCCTGAGTTTCCTTCCTCAGTATCTTCCATGGTGGGTAAGATCTCAAGAGCATCAGTTATAATGAAAATATATCCTTCTCCCCACCCACACATTCCCTCTGTTCACTGGCAAAATCTTCCATCCATCCAAGTAAGCCTCCTTCCTTCCTCTCATCTTTCTTCCATCTACCTATTTATATTCATTCATTCATTCATTCATTCATTCACTCACCAGGTGTCTACTAAATGTCGAGCCCTGTGCCAAGCCCTAGATAAATGGTGATGAATTAAAAAACAGTCCCTGCCACTGAGGCACTCATTTCCTAATCTAATTTAGACAGATAACTGTACATAATGTAATAATAAGTTCTACAATAGGTAGACATACGAGGTGTTGCGTGAGCCCAAAGGATGGAGTGATTAACTCCACCTGAAAGGGTCAGGAAAGGCAAAGCATTGGCTACAATCCAGCAGAAAGAGTAAGATCTGCTAATCCCTCTGGAAGAGGGAAAGGACTTAACCTCTGTCAGGTCTTCCTACCTCAGTAAGAACCATCAAGTTACCAGGAAACCAAGACTGAAGGGAAAAGTTGTGATAAAGAAGACGAGTGATGCATGGTTTAAACGTGAGGAACAGCAGAAAAAGGATAGGCTGCAGAACAAACAGGGCACAGGCCACTGAGTTAGGAGGTGAAACAGAAGAGACAGAAACAGAATTCAACCTCTAAAAAATCCCAAGTCCAGATTAGTCATCAATATCTGAAACCTCAAAAGATGTGGTGGGATAAGTGGGAAGGAAAGAAGAAATGTCTAGGCTGCTCTCCTACTGCTGACAAGCTGCAGTTTTCTGCCCATTTGTCCGCAGAGAAAGGGAGTGGAACCTTTTCAAAGTACACAGTAGGTGGCGCTAAAACATAACTAAAACAAATCAGAGGCGCCATTTCCTGCCCCATATCCTTCTCTGGTTGAATACCCTCCTTTATTGTATTCCTTCAAGACACAACTGCCTAAAACTACACCATTAGAGATTCAATTCTTCACAGAAATATTATCTCTGAAAGCAGTCTCTTGAGAAAAGCTTAAGATAGATCTGTCTTCATGTAAAAGGGAACTCCTTTAAAGTAGAATCAAAACTGACCCACTTTTATAGTCTTAATAGGATCTAGAAGAGATGAAAATCAATAAGTACTATTGGGAGCAGAAATTGAGCAAATAAAATGTATTATCAGGCCTCACCCCACTCCATCTCCTCCAAAGAAGACTGAGCAGCAATCATTTAGCATTACAAGTAAGAAAACTGCACAGCCCTGGCTCTAAGCAGTTATGTTAGTATGGACAAATCTGTTCCCTATACTGAGCCTGCTTCTTCGTTTTTAAATGGAATCAAAATTCCTGCCTGCCTCAAAGAATTATCTTGAAACCTAATAAAATCCTAACTGGAATGTGCATGCAGTATTACATTTATCTAACCAAAATATCAGGAACTTTGAAAAAAAAAAAAAAAAAGCTCTATGGTGGCTGGCAGTGTAGGCCTATTAAAGTAAGGAGGGAGGAGGTGGCATGTAGCTCTGGACACTGTCAGAAAAGGATACATGTGTACACATGTGTAATTCCATCTCTGGGGATATGTGTATTTGTTTCTCTGAGTGCCACAGTGGTCACTTAGCTCTGTAGGCCTTAGGGAGCAGGGAGGGCTGGAAGCTTAGTTTTATCCCCAAACTTGGAATGTCTCCTAGTTTTCATTCCAAAGGTCTAGATTCTTTGCCTTTGGAATAAAAACAGAACATGTTTTTCAGACAAAGGAAGAATGAGGATTGCCCAGACAGTAGCATTTAGTCCCTAACTGGCAAAGGGCAGGATCAAGGGGTCTACTAAAGTAGCGAGGACTCAGAGATAAATCTCCTCCTTTTATCCCTAGAAACCCGGCCCAGAGGTATGAATCTGATAGGACTGCCTTTACTGAGGCAGTGCCCTGCGGGTGTCAAAATTCCTAGCTCACTGATATGTGAACCCAAGCAAGGCTCTAACCCTCTCTAAGCCTTCATTTCTTCAACTCTAAGTAGGGATAATAATAATACCTACCTAACTGTGTTGTGATTATTAATAACAATAATGCATTTAAATGCTTAACAGTACCTAGCTCACAACAAATTCTTTCCTTATCTCGCCAAAGAAAATAGTATCTATCATTAAAAAATAACAATAAAGAGCCAGACTTTATTTCCTTTTACACGAATTTCTACAAAGACTTCCAAACTAGAATCCCTAGTCTGCAGAGTAACTTTCTAAAAGATAGTCTTTCCTCTTCTCAAAAGCAAAAAACAACAACCCAAATTACTGCATTGACTCTCTGATACCTTTTCAATCCTACTAAAGTTCTCCATATGAGTCTTAAGGCACCAGGGGTCTGGCCTCACTACATATTCAATTTTAACTATCAGGACCTCCCTACCCATCTTTCAAGGTCTCCTCTCAGCATCCACATAATTCATCCCCTATCTCTGTGCTCTTTCAGTCCTTAGAGTTGTCATCCCATAAACTGGCACTGAATCACTGCACTAAGTGTGTGCTCACTGCTCCTTCTTATGTGTGAGTTTTGTTGGCCCAGGAGTAGTGAATTCCTTATAATTCCTTAGATATCAGGAAGTACTTGGATCAATTGGTACCTTTTTTTCCACAACTAGCTCTTCAACAGTAGTTTTATCTAGACAGAATCCCAGACTATCAGAGCTAGGTTGTTAACATTCTCCTAGTTTCATATTACTGATGAGGAAATAAGTCCTAAAAGGGAAAGGGATTTACCTAAAGTCATACAATAAGTGAGTACTTATGAGATTTGGGAGGTATTGGGAAGACAGACTTGTGAAGTTTCTCTGGAGAACAGTGAAAAACAGTTCATTGTATCTATTTCTAAGGAAAAGGAATCAAAGGTAGGGCAAAGCATAGAATGATCCCCTAGCAAGGCATCCAACCAGGAAAGCTCAAGACTGACAGCCACATATTTCTTCCTCTGAAGCTCAGAGAGAAAATAGATAGAAATAAGCTTCTGCCCCGGGGAAGATTACTTGCCCATGCAACTGGAATGGCAAGAACCTGGACCCTCAATGCAGTTTTGGAAGGATGGCACAGCCTGGGCAGCCATGTAAATGTGGTCCCAGGGACCAGGTAACCCACAACCCCAGTAGAAACAGGAAGCTCCCAGGAGCTGGCCACACTGGGGCTGTGGAGAAGGGGCAAGCCTCACCTTTCCTGAAGGTCATGCAGACTCTGCTCAGCTCGATGTAAGCCCTCCAGATCCTTCATCATCTTCTTCATGTGCTCCTTGGAGTAACGGTTCTGGATATAAGCAAACCAGCAGCCACCAACGCCAATAACAATAGACACCACCAGCATGAAGTCCTTGAGGTGATTATGGCGGGTCACTGCCAGAGAGGAAAGGCATGGTGAGTCAGGCTGCCCACTGCACACAGCTTTGCAGAGTCCACTGCACCCCCTCTTCCATGAAGCCTTTGTTTCTGTTCTTAGGCACACACTTGTTATATACTATTACAGTAAACTCTCTGCCTAATTCTCTGCTAAGTCAAGAATTAGTTTGGAAAGGATAAAAGGCCTTAGAGCAGAGGTTCTCAACCTCTCTAATGCTGCGACCCTTTAATACATTTTTTTTATGTGGTGACCCCCAACCATAAAATTTTCATTGCTACTGTTATGAATCATAATGTAAATATATGTTTTCCAATGGTCTTAGGCTCTACAGCAGCGGTTCTCAACCAGGTTGAAAACCACTAGCAGGGTCACCTAAGACCATCAGAAAACACATATTTACATTATGATTCATTAACAGTAGCAAAATTACAGTTAGGAAGTAGCAACGAAAATAATTTTATGGTTAGGTGTCACCACATGAGGTAATGTATTAAAAGGTCACAGCGTTAGAGAGGTTGAGAACCACTGCCTTAGAGCAACATGGGAAACCTATTAAATTATGTTTCCCTAATATGCAGTGAAGAGGAGAGCACTAGTATCTTCTCAATACATGTCAGCCATCCCTGGTCTGCAGTTTTGGTCCATGTATCCAGATGCAATAGCTTTCATGTATCCAGATGCAATGGCTTTCATTCTATAGGGTAAGCATGCTAGGGTGCATGAGCAAGTAGAAGGGGATGGCTGGTAAGAATATAAAGCCAAGTTGCTTAGAACTTGTGATCTGGTTGTGGAACTGAGGTTATCACAGGACTGGATTACTAGGCTATTATTTACACACACACACACACACACACACACACACACACACACACGGGGCAAAGTCCAAATCAGGTAAAAAAAATCTGTAAGTCTCATGTATGGAGAGCATTTCTAGGCTGTGGCTCCATCCACAGACGAGGTAGAACAGGAGTAGCTAAAGCAATTGGTATGTATAAAATAGTCCACATGCCAGGAATAGAGGGGTGGAGCTACCTGCTGAGAATCCCTGGCAGCAACTTGGTGAAGTGGCCAGGGCCCCAGCCACCACCTGGGATTCAGAGTAATAATCAGTCTCCAGAGCAAAACTGAAAAGCTAATCAAGGAATAACAGAAGATAAGAGCAAAAGCCATTTCCTGAGAATTTAGCCAACCAGAAGAGGGGCACTCTGGAGTCTGACATTGTTCCTAGTATACTGGGTCTGGGCCCAGGGCCACAGTGCGGGAGACCTGAAAGAGATACCTAAGGAGAAGAGGACTGCTTCTTTACTCAACTTGGGATAGAGTAGCTGTAGGCTCAGAGGACCCTGGATGTGGTGGTCAGGGAAAGAAGGAAAGAGGGAATGACCTCCTGTGCACAGCAGGTTACCCTTAAGTTGGGGAAGGGAAAACAAGACTGACAGGATCCCAAGAAAGAGGCTAATGGGAATCCAAAAGGTCCCAGGTGGAGCCACCAAGGTAAGGAAGGGTCTAAACAGCAGAAAAAGACACATGAAAATGAGGCCGATTGAGAAAAAGTGTTATATTCATAGCTCCTCACTGAAAGACTGAGCAACAGGACATGGGGAGGGTGTAGGATCAAAGGCAGATTAGCACATTCTATTTCCATCCAAGAGAGAGGAGTTACTAGGTCTGGGATGGAAGCCATGTCCTTTACATGTTTATGCCAGATTCTCACAGAGAAAACTAAGGGTCCTCTAGCAGCCATCTTCTAGCCCAGTGGTCGGCAAACTCATTAGTCAACAGAGCCAAATATCAACAATACGACGATTGAAATTTCTTTTGAGAGCTAGATTTTTTAAACTTAAACTTCTTCTAACGCTACTTCTTCAAAATAGACTCGCCCAGGCTGTGGTATTTTGTGGAAGAGGAACACTCAAGGGGCCAAAGAGCCGCATGTGACTCACGAGCTGCAGTTTGCCGACCACGGTTCTAGCCTCCAAGCAAGCCTACACTTCCATCCATACTCAAGTCCTCATGCTCCTCCCTTCAGGTCCCTAGAAGAGATATCTCTGCAGCATAGTGAGTTGCCTTTCTTTCTGGAACACACCAGCCTCCTACACAGTCTCCTGTTTGTTAAGGACTGTTAACCTTGGCTTCCCAGGGATTCTCAATTTCAGGGATTCTCAATTCGATACTCCTACAGAAAGTCAAAGGTATTCTTGCTCAAACAAGACTCCATGCAACCAGCACCTCCAACCCTGCAGATTTTTAAGGTGGGCATGCAGACTGGGTGCCAGTCCTTTATTCACCCTTGTCCAGATCAATTTGGAACAGGATGATATTATTTTTCCCAGCTTCGTAGTCTCATCCAAGTCATGAATATGAATTCCAAATGGCCAGGACCAAAGATTGGACCTAAGGCAGTGGTTCTCAACCTTTCTAATATCACGACCCACAGGTTGAGAACCACTAGCAGGGCCTAAGACCATTGGAAAACCCAGATATTTACATTATGATTCATAACAGTAGCAAAATTACAGTTATGAAGTAGCAATGAAAATAATTTTATGGTTGGGGGTCACCACAACATGAGGAACTGTATTAAAGGGTTGTGGTATTAGGAAGGTTGAGAATCACTGATCCAAGGTAATCTGTTCCACCTATCAGTACTCACTGGATCTCTTCAACCAGTTTTGACTTTATTTAAATATAAAGCATCCACCCCGTACATACATCCTTCTGCCTTGTCAAATGCACAGAAGTTAAGCTATGCTGTCTGTCACATTCCATGAGCAACCAAGAGTGGTGGGAAGAAGAGGAGTCTAATATGGCTGATTTACTCTGTGGCCCTTGATTGTTACTTGTCTGTATACCAGTGCCTAGCACAGTACCAACTAACACACAATATTTGTGGGATTGAGTTGTTACTGATCAGCCTCAAATATGATATTTCCCTCTCCTTAATTCATATAAGAAAAGAACGGAAATAAAGTAAATATACAATGTATCAGGCATTTATATTCACCATCTTTAATTCTCACAACTACTTTCTAAGGTAGAATATTAGTAGTCTCTTTCTTTAGACCAGAAAACTGTGGCTCATAGGAGCAATGACTTGCTGGAGTTCACCAAAAGTGGCAGATCTAGGATTCAAATCCAGATGTGCATGATTGCATGATCTTTCTACTACACCCACTTTGTCATGATTTTCATATTCATGCAGCAGGTATTGTTTCCACTTTGTTATGTACAAATATCTCTCACCATGGAGAGGCCTATATCTCCTGACTTAAGAGTTCCAAGGCCTCAGTTTTCCCTCCAAATAACATCTTGGGAGCTGACTGTGGTCTAGCCATCAGGACAGGCCTTTAAAAGGTTAAACATAGGCCTCATGTAGAGAAATTCTGCCATCAAAGGAAGCATCCTACACTAAGTATTAAGAAGTCTGGGTTCTATGCTGTCCTCTGCCCCAATTTGTTATGAAATTCTTTTTTTTAATTTTTTTATTAAGGTATTATATGTGCACATATTTTATCATTGCCCTCCCCCATCCCACTCCCATTCATGCCCTCACCCCCCAGTGTTTTTCGTCCACTGGTTATGCTTATATGCATGCATACAAGTCCTTTGGTTGATCCTTTATCTCCCTCACCTCTCCCTAACCTTCCTGGTATAATTTGACAGTCTGTTTGATGCTTTATGTTATGAAATTCACTTCCTCCATCTGGATCTCAGCCTCCTCAGCTGAGTTATCATAGAATTGCTAAAGAGATCAAAAGTGTATTTGTAAATGAAAGCGCTTAGAAGTGTTTTGGAAACATTCAGATGGACTTACCCAATAGATAATTAAGAATGTGGATGTGGAGTTTGAGGAAGAGATGGGAGCTGGAGAGGCTGATGTGAGAATTATCAGGTCCCTTCAGAGGAGCCCTGACATGACCCCCAGAGTCCTAAATAAAACTATGATGATTAATTTTATGTCAACTTGACTGGGAAAACATTATTTCTGGGTGTATCTGTGGGGTTATCTTTTTAAGAGATTAACATTTGAATCGGCAGACTGAGCATCATCCAATCATCCTCAGGCTGCTGAGGGCCTGAGTAGAACCAAAGGTGGTGGAAGAGTGGATTTGCTCCCTCAGCTTGAATTGAGACATCCATCTTCTCCTGCCCTCCTACATCAGTGCTCCTGGTTCTCAGGCCTTGGGACACAGACAGGGATTCACACCATCAGCCCTCTGATTCTCTGGCCTTTGGACGCAGACTTACTCCATCATCTCCCTTGATTCTCAAACCTTTAGAATTGGGCTGAATTACACCACTGGCTTTCCTGGTTCTCCAGCTTGACAGTACAGATCATGGGTCTCTTGGGATCCACAATTATGTGATTTATTAAATTCCTATAATAAATCTCCTCTTATTTATATCTATATACATATCCTATTGGCTCTGTTACTCTGTTGAACCCTGAATAATACAGAATCTATAAATTATTGTGTAAGAAAAAGATGGGGAAATACAGAAATCAAGTTCTAGTCTATGCCTACTTAATGATGTACTTCTTTCCATCATAATCCCATTCCCATTCTTCAGTTCCTACAACCTACCTTCCCAGCCCAGCACAGTCCATGGAGATCCTTCCACTCCTCTTCTCTGAACTAGGATCCAGTCTCTTGGGACAGGTAAACATGACTTATCTCTAACTATCTCAGGGACTATCTTGTATGTTTTTCAGCTTTCATGTGAGTCACCTTCTTTCTGATAGTCTGTGAGTTCCTCAGGGCCAAGCACAAGACTAATTTATCTTTGTAGCTCAATAGGTAGCATAGAACTTGACCAGAGCAAGTACTTAGCAAAGGCAGTGAGAAGAGGTTTTAGCCTAAAAAAGGGGGTGGGGTTGTATAATATAAAGTGCATGTGAAGGGCAAATACCAGCTCGTAGGACAGTGGTTGGCAAACTGCGGCTTGCGAGCCACATGCAGCTCATGAGATATGGTTTGCTGCTCTGTTGACTAATGAGCTTGCCGACCACTGTCCTAAGACATGAAGAATATAGCCAACTGTCTTATACAGCCCCTACACAAGTTCAGCTTTCAGCATCCTCCTTGCAGCCAGGGAATATAACCTGGGCAGAGAGACGATGGAGTTTTCATGAGAACAGAGGTGGTTGGCCTAGTGAACAAAGCTAACCCAGGGAAGCTGGCTGGGACCTGAGAACCCAGAGGGTGGCAGAATTCCTAGCCTGAGTGCTGTAAATAGATTTTAGCAAAATGAGGTCAACTGTTCACACAATCAGGCCTAAGGCAGCATAGGAGAGTATAAACTAATGAGATGCTGACATGTCAACAGAGTCAGGGGTAATGGTGAAAATTTTCAAGATTCCAGTTAGCACTGAGAAGTGAGCCTCTAATCATTATCACTTTCTGGAATTCCCTCTCCTAATCTACTGCCCATAATACCCTGCCCCAAGCAGCTATAGACATTCATTCCTACCTGCCAAAATATGTGGTAAGAATTTCTTTTGTCATTTACATAGCCTTCTGTGCTGAGGTATCTGTTTAATCTGGAACAGTTATCTCTGGGCCCACCTCCCTTCGGTATAGCCCCAATAGGGCTCTAATCGCCTCACTTATCCAAAGATGCTCCATAGGTAGCAGTTCTCCCCACAACCCAGCTGGAAAGGATCTTCTCCCAACTCCCATCAGTCCTGTAGCTCTGGTGAGGCCCAGCCTCCTGTATAACTTCTAGCATACATCACTTGACACCAACTCTTTGCTGGCCTTTTGTTAAGTGCTGATGAAAGATGAACAAAGTTGTTTCTACTCCCGGGGAGTTCCCAGTTTAAATGATATCAGATAGGGAAACAATTTTAAAAAGGAGGCAGGTACAACGGGCTGTGGCTTCCCAGAGGAGAGTAAGAGAGAAGGATTGAAAATACCAGTAAGAGGCCGGAAAGGCATTCTGAAGAAGGTGGAAGGGTGAGTTGAACGTAACAGAAAGGAGAAAGAAGGTAAGATAGAGGTGACAGACCAGAGCAAGCTTTGCCAGAGAGGCAGCCACTCCCGCTTACCAAGGACTCTTCCCTATTATTTGAGTCACTGAAGGAGGAAGACAGGTATAGTGTTGTCTTTTCCTCTCCACAGCTTCCCTAACCCCAACAATTGCTTGGCAGGCCTCTCCCTGTACTCTTCTCAATACTCCTGCTGAACCACCAAGGGCACAGTAGTCCATAGCCAAGGACTGACCAGAGCAGGTATGCTGTACTGTACACTGAAAATAGCAGCTACCATTTGTTTAGAAGAAACTGGGGCATATAGAACCTTGGGAATATACTCAAGGTCACAAAACTTCTGAGTGACAGAGCCAGTTTACTGGGTTTCAAAGCTGAAACTCTTTATATAATAATTTGTTTCCTCTAGAGAAGAAGAGGGTGGGACTACAGAGAAGAAAAGAGTACTGAAATATAAATTAAAGACTGGGGTTTGAGTCATGGCTCTGCCATTTAAATGCCGAATGAACTCTAAAAACTCACCTCATCTCTCTGAGCCTCATTTTCTCTGAGAAATTATTAGCCCCTCAATGAATGATCTGCTACCAGACGGAGACATCACCTTAGGCCTCCAACTGGACACTACCTTGGGCCTTGGTTTCTCAGATCATACCTAACACTTGGCTACTGGCACAGTTAGGGCAGCCACACATGGGCCTCCAAGCCTAGAGCCAACTTTGCAGGGTAGAAAAGTCTGTAAAGAGCCATGTGCTGCTCTGTGGCCACATGGAGAAGACTGAGATGTCATCTACTATCAACAAATGTGATCCCTTTTCCCTCTTCCCAAGCTTTGAAGCTGCTGTGAGTAGATGGGTCCTGCTCACTCGGCAGACCCTCCTGGCTACTGCACAACAATCTCTGCTTTTAAGATTTCTCACACCTCAGACCAACAGCAGGCTTTTCATTAAGGGAGCCATGGCTGGCAGCTGTGACTGGCCCAAATTCTCTGTAGTATTTATCTACTATATACCTTATGGTGAGGCATGAGAGCCATAGCCCTAAGAACTCATCCAGGTGAAGAACACAGGTCAGAGCTAGCATAGGCCCTCATTCTAAATCCTGCATGGGCCCTGGACAGGGAACAGCACTGGACTAGAGGTTTCAGTCCGTGTTCAGATGAGAACACAAAGCCTAAAGTGACACAGAACAAGGGATTCTTTGCAGAACCCCACCAGGCAGGGCCCTACCCTTGCAGTTTCTTGGCAAAGAGCTTCCTAGTATTTTCATCAGATTCCAGCTGGCAATTTTCAAAAATTTTCTTTAATAAGAATCAGTAGGCAAGTATAAAAACAATATTTTACATCAGGACAGCTGCTGGATTCCAAAATTTTAGCTCCCAGCTCTATCTGAGTCCTTGAATGAGAGAGCTAATAACAGCCTTACTGACCAAGCCCATTTACAGGTGAGGAACTCTAATTGTAGGCAGAAGAATCACTTGATAAGGCAAGGGCCACAAAATTCCTAAAGGAAAAGGATATAGATAGTAGTAGGAAGGAACAGGACCCTTATCAGCCAAAGGGTTTTCCCACAAAATTATAGAATGTAGCAGCTCGAATCTTAAGGATCCATTAGCTCAATTGTTTCATGACACAAATTAGTAAATACATCCTGAGAAAAGTGATCTACACAAGGTCACACAGTGAGTGGCAGTTTTGAAAAGAGACCAATGTGCATTCCTAAGCTTAAGTTCTCTATATGAAAGGCCAGGAGTTACAAAAAAAATCTAGATGGCCCTGGCCGGTTTTGCTAGCAGTTAGAGCATTGGCCCATGGACAGAAGGATCCCGGGTCCAATTCCTGGCCAACGGCATGCACCTAAGTTGCAGGTTTGTCCCTGGCCCCTATCAGGACACATGCAGGGGACAACCAATCGATGTGTCTTTCCTCCTTCTAAAAAAAAAATCAATGGGAAAAAAAATACCCTCAGGTTATGATTTTTTAAAAAAATCTAGATGTATATAATAATGATGACTGAGATATAATTCATACACCCTAAAATTAACTCTTAAAATGTGCAATTCAATGGCTTTAGCATACTTACAAGGTTATACAACCATCAGCACAATTCATTTTAAAACATCATCATTACTCTATAAAGAAATCACATACCTATTACCAGTCACTTCCGATTTTCCACCCTACATGCTAGCTGCTTCTCTGGACTAGTCTTTGGTTCTATAGCATTCTGCTGCTGGCATCCTCAACTGATGCCAACAGATCTCAAAGGACAGGGAGTGAACCCTAAGAGCCTGTTTGGTCAAGGCTAATTTTCTAAGAAATATTTCTTAGAAATATTCCTGATTTCACTTAGAATAAGAAAGAAAAAAAAAAAGATGTCAGGCTCTTGCAGGTCTTCAGGAACTGGACCACTTGATTCTCTTGACTAACTCCTGGCAGAAGAGAACACCCTTCCTTAGGCCTGAGTGTGTCTCTATTGCTTCAGTGAAAGCCTACTTAGTACTACTCCTTGGTGGTCCAAGGACACAGATGTTCAACAATTACTTCATACATTCTGCACACCCACAGTGAGAGCAGGGAAAAGCGAAATAGCATTCAGCCCTTATCAATTACTTTTATCCCAGAGCATAACTTTCATATTTTAGCCTTTGTGTTCCCGGCAGGTTGTCTCCTGCACCCAGAATGCCCTCTCTGGCCACCTGAATGGAATACAGCCCTATCCCTGTCACCTCTTTTATGGTATGCCTCCTCCACCCCTTCTCTGGAATTCAGAAGCACTGTGTACCTCTCTAGAACATTCGTTTTATCCCCTTGGGGCAGAATATGATTCATCCAGGTCTTCCTACAGATTCCAGCACAGCACTGGCACAAAGCAGATGTTTCATTAATGTATTTAATGAAGATATGTTGATAACTGGCTGGACTAAAATGTAAAAACCATTTCATATGTCAACAGCAGCAGGGAAAGTAGAGGCAAGTGTACTTAGCAGACCCAGGCCCTCAGCCCAGCCACCCCAACAGCCTTGGGTTCCATGGCACAACAGCACCCTTCTCTCCACAAGACTCACAGAGAGGAGGCCCGAAGAGCACTGTGTCCAGGGCCTTCAGCTGCAGCTTCTGCCGATGGCTCCGGTCTGTCATCTTTAGCACAGTCCCTGTCATGGTGGTGTTGGTTACAGCAAGCCTGTTGAGGCAAAGAGTAGGCATTCAGTTCTCTGCCAGCAAAGCTGGGAAGGGTCCTGGTAAAACTCCTCACCTTTTCCAGGAACACTTCCAGGACTCCTAGCTCCTGGTAACAGCTCCCTTCTGCATGCTAGAATACAGAGTCTATACCGATGGATCTCAGTGGTGAGTATGCAGAGACCCATAACGTTTACCAAGAATTTGTTCACCCTTCTCCACATGTCTACCTCTCCTGAGTATCCTAGTCTCTAAGGATATTTATTCATTTGTGACCATTCCCAGACCAAGGTGTAAACTTTCCATGTGCTTCCCCTTATACAGATTATCCATTATATATCTGTCACCATTTATAAGTGCATCCTCCTGTTCAGTCCTTGTCAAAATGTCATGCTACATGACCCAGTGATTCTAGAGTCCTCTGAATCATCCTAATCCTAACCCAATTAAATATATTTAATGATGAATATATTTAACAGTCATAAAATATAAACCTGCTGATGACAAATACTGCATATCTTGTTAGCTTATACTTGAGTCACCATAATTTACTCCCAATCAGATACTGTAATGTTTTATGACCTTCAATCATATTGTTAATAATAACTCTAATAAGAGAGGTCCTATAAACAAGAAAATGACCTTGGAAAAACTGGACTTTGTTTCTCTTCTACTAGAACACAGTGGGGATAGATATAGGAGGAGAGTCTAAGATATGAAAGGTTGAAATGCCATTTGTCCGCATCCCACAAATGAGCATTTACTACTGTACTAGTCCATAAGGTCAGAGCTCTCTTTTGTTTTTATTTATTTATTTATTTATTTATTTATTTTAGAAATCTCTCTCTCTCTCTCTCTCTCTCTCTCTCTCTCTCTCTCTATCTCTCCCCCCCCCCCCATACCCTACATGTGCATGAAATTTATGCACAGGTAGGGTCCCTAGGCCTGGCTTGTGATCAGGGCCAATCTTCCCTGGCTGCCAGCAGCCGGCCCCGCCCTCGAACCGCCAACGCTGCTGGTCGCCCTCTGTGTATGGGATGACCAGTGGGGCAATCGGGGCTCTGGCACCACGTCCACTGCTACCCAACCGTGGTTCCCATCAGGCGATCAGAGCCTGCCAGCCGGGGGGAGAGGAGGGACTGAGAGGTTGCCAGCGGGCTCAGATGATCAGGGCCTGCGGGCTGGGGGGCAGCTCTTATGTTGAGCATCTGCCCCCTGGTGATCAGTATGCATCATAGCTGACTGGTTGGTCTCCTGTATGGTTAATTTGCATATTATGCTTTTCAAGAGGAAGAGAGATGGAAAGAGAGAAACATCAATGATGAGAGAGAATCACTGATCAACTGCCTTCTGCATGCCCCTTATTGGGAATCAAGCCCACAAGCCATGTATGTACCCTTGTCCGGAATTGAACCTGGGACCCTTTCATCCACAGGCCAATGCTCTAACCACTGAGCAAAATGGCTAGGGCTAGAGTCTTTTCAAACGCGTATCTTTGTTTCCCCAGATAGAAAAGAAGCTTCTAACATCAGAGTGTGTGTTTATACTCCTGCCTGGGCATGCAGGAGCATCTATTTCCTTCTGTAGTCTGGGAAGCAATGGAGCTCACCTACAAGAGAGGCAAGGAAGTAGGGGGACCAGCTCTATCAGTGAATGACTCACTTGTCCAATCATAAGCTGCTCAGTCTCTCCCCAAGGCCTCAGTTTCCTTCTGTATAAACTTATATAAAATCAGATGCTTCCTATAAGCCTGAGAATCCTTGGAGACCCTTTTTAGAGCACTTCTACCAGATGTACTGCACTTCATCTGACTGAGCAAAACAAGTGTCATCTTTTGTACAGTCTATTTGTCAAGGAAACTTATGAATTCGACTGCTATCTACTTCTAAGCTATGAACAAATAAACACCATATATGGCTAATATTTAGTAAGCAACTACTGTGTATCTTGTACTGTTCTGACACTACATTCATTACCTAATTTACTTCTCATGATTTTAAGAACTCAGTTCTATTATTAGCTCCACTTGACCAATGTGAAAACTGAGACTTAGAGTTGAGTAACTTGCCTAGTCACATAGCGAGTAAGCAGCAAAGCCAAGATACAAACTCAAATCTGCTGGATTCTTTCCATTGTATCATGCTGCCTAGTGATGGGCTTAGAACCATCCCTACTCTATGCACTGAAGGCCCCATGCTTCCTGATGTTACTAGAGTACCACAGCTTGGCTTCTGCTATTCCTGAGCCCAGCCTAGCTAGATCTGGTCTTGGAACTAATCCTAGCCACAGGAGGGTTAAGTAAGACCATGACCAGGGAACTGACTTATCCTAGGCTTTAGTTTTAATCCAAGCATAGCAATTCCTCAAGATGAAACGGTCCAGTGATCCACAAGATACTGCCACTATTTCCATGGGTAAAGAGAAAGAAACCTAAATCCTGGTGCTTCCTGATCAATCATCTATTCAATTGCTTAAATTCGTCCATCAAACCTGGAGTTCCTAAAAACAGATATGAGGTCTAATGCTTGTCTTTGTCCTCAGGGCCCATGGCATATAGTAGGTGCTTGGTAAAGTTTGTCAAATAGAACTGAACTGAATACTTCCAGGAAATCCATCTTCAACTGCATGGGACAAGAGGGAGAAGCAGTGAAAAAAAGCAGGGCACTTAGAACCAGGCAGACCTAGGTTCAAATCCCAGCTCTGCCACTTACCAGCTTGGATAAATCATAAAATATTTGACATTTAGTTTGTGCAGCTAAAAGTTGGCACAATAATTCTTTTCTCCCAGAATTGTGCGGTTCAATTGAAATAATAGGTAAGAAAGTACTCTATAAAGGGATGCACAAACATTAAGATTATTATTCTCTCCAAGGCAGGGAGAAGCTATGAAGAGAAGGTTACAGGCAGCAGAAGAGGGGGCAGCCAGCTCAGCAGGGCCCGGACAGCAGTGTCTGGTAGTTCTGTGGCTGGAGATTGCAAAGTGTGGGCATTCCAATTGCTTTCCCCTCCTTGTTCCCCTTTGCTGAAGCTCATAACCAGATGCATCTACATAATAAGATGACAGAATATATATATATACACAATCAGCACTTACCAGACAGTAAGCCTTTTGAGGACAAGAACAGGTTGTTGTCACCTTTATCCCCAACACCCAACACAAGTGCTTGGCACAAAGCAGGTATCCAGTAAATATTTATTGAATGAATAAGTAAATGGATTAATGACTGAATGATATATGGCACTAGTTTGATATAATAAGAAGTCCAAGCAGTACTCCATCTCCTCCCCACTCCACCCCAAGCCCTAGCTTATCATGCCTGTAAAGAAGAAAAGTTAGGGCACAATAGCTATTGGAGGAGTCATTCCAGAGAGGAGGCTGGGTCCAATGGCAGTCAGCCCCCACCTCTGTACAATTTTAGAGCAGATGAACTGATATGCATAATTCTGGGGAGGCTAAAAGAGCCCCACAGACTCATGGGCATCAAAAGAGAGAGCTGGATGAAGGGGAGTGGGTATGAAGGAACAAAGAGAAACACCACAGGCTTAATGAAATACTGTATAAAAAGTGTTAGAGAGTATCTAGCATGTACTAAACACTCAATAAATGGCAGCTATTAGTACTATTCCCAGTATTGGTAGAAATATTAAGTAAGAAAATGGACTCTAAGTAGCAATCTGTTTTATGACAAGTGCACAGTAGATGTGAGAAAAGGAGATGTCTATAGATTCTATCCTAAAAAGGATGTAACCTCATTTAATTGGCCACAGTAATCTGAAGGCAAGCCAACCCTAGCCCATTTCCTGCACTACAAGTGAGAGAACCCAGTTGCCTCCTGACCTTGGCATGGCATGGCCACTGAGCTGCAGCTTCCGGAAGGTCTCTTCATACTGAGGCAGCTCCACATATGTGATCAGCCACTGCACCACCTCGTCCACGGTCCAGTTGTACACTGTGGGAAAAGAGCAGCAAAGCCATGACTCCAGCATGCCAAGCACTGCTCACATTTGTTGTCACAGTAACACTGATCTTAACATTTACACATGTTTATGTGTTTAACATCTCATTCTCCCATAAAATACTACATACAAAAGGAATACACACTCAACTTTTTATTTATCTATATACATAGGGGTGGGCAAAAGTAGGTTTACAGTTGGAGAAAGACATTAATAGATAGCAGCAATACAAGAATAAACTGTTTTGTATATTTGCAACTGTTTCCCAACCCTGCAATTACATATACTACATGATATTTTATATATATATGGAGAGAGAGAGAGAGAGAGAGAGAGGGATCCAAATGATGTCATATAAGCCCTGAGTCAGTTCTTAAGTTGCTAGCCCTATTCACAGATTTTTAACTTTTGTGTAACAAGTAAATTTCCCCTTTTTCTTTTTATATCAGATTGAAAAAATTTTCTGTCAAGAAAATAACATGAGCCAATTCTAGATGACATCATTACTGAGTGATCACTAACAACATGGTCAATCATATCATCATCCTACATGGCCACACTAGCTAATCATTTCTCAATATTATAATGTGATATTTTAAATATCCTTACTCAAGGATATAGTGTGTGTGTTTTTGTTTTGTATTTTTAAAATATATTTTTTATTGCTCTTAGAGAGGAAGGGAGAGGATGAGAGAGATAGAAACATCAATGATGAGAAAGAATCATTGATCAGCTGCCTCCTGCATGCCCCCTATAGGAGATCAAGCTTGCAACCCAGGCATGTGCCCTTGACCAGAATTGAATCCAAGACCCTTCAGTTTGCAGGCCAAGGCTCTATCCACTAAGCAAAACTGGCTAGAGCATACTGTGTATTTTTTTTTTTTTTTTATGTTTAGAAAGAGGAAGGGAGAGAGAGAGAAACATCAATGTGAGAGAGAAACATCAACTGGGAATTGAACCACAACCTTTTTGGTGTATGGGACAATACTCCAACCAACTGAGCCACCTGGCCAGGGTATAACGTTGTGATTTTAAAAATAATCCTTTAAAAATAATTGTAATATGTGTGTGTTATTTAGACACATAGATAGCAAACTTCAAAGAAATGAATAGAAGTGGAGTTAATACACAAGGAATAAGTTTGAACCAAATGAAGGTCAAATGACATCATGATGTATAACATAAATCAAAGTTTCATAGTACTGTGAATAGAGAATGATGATGGCAGGACTGAGTCATCAGATGGCAGCCAATAATAAAGGCATGCTGAACTTAAAGAGCCGGGAGCAAATTGAGTTTCAGTAAAAGGTATCATTTTATTGGATTTGAAGTTCATTTTTATTTAATATATAAATCCATTTTTTATATTTGCATACAAATTTTAAATAGCAACTTAAGCCTCATTTTATGTTTGTACACATTTAAGTAACATTTCAGTAAAATAATTTAAGCTAGCATTTTAGGTCTGAAATAAATTATTTCCCTTAAAAGGAATTTGTACATTTTTAAATGTTCAAATTATGAAAACTACTGGAGCAGCAAGAAGCCTAAAAAAATTTGAAGCAGAATGAGATGTGAGCTTTATCATCCTCCTTGCTTAAGATCCTATCATTTTTAAAAATTTAATAAATATTCATTTTTCAGATTATTATAATTGTTCTCATTTCCCCCTCTCCTATAGCCCCCACCACCTGGTTAACACCCACCTCTGCCCTTACCCCCACCACCACTGTCCTCATCCATAGGTGTATGATCTTTGTCGTCTCTTCCCACACCCCACAAACCCTTTCCCTCCCCGCAAGAATTGTCAGTCCACTCCCTTTCTATGCTCTTGATTCCATTATATTCACCAGTTTATTCTGTTCTTCAGGTTTTTAATTCACTTGATTTTTAGATTCACTTATTGATAGATATGTATTTGTTGTTCATAATTTTTATCTTTACCTTTTTTCTTCTTCTTCCTCTTCTTAAAGAATACCTTTCAGCATTTCATAAAATACTGGTTTGGTGTTGATGAACTCCTTTAGCTTTTTCTTATCTGTGAGCTCTTTATCTGCCCTTCAATTCTGAATGATAGCTTTGCTGGGTAAAGTAATCTTGGTTGTAGGTTCTTTTAAAAAAATATATATTTTATTGATTTTCTTACAGAGATGAAGGAAGAGGGATAGAGAGTTAGAAACATCAATCAGCTGCCTCCTGAACACCTTCTACTAGAGATGTACCTGCAACCTAGGTACATGCTCTTGACTGGAATCAAACCTGGGACCTTTCAGTCTGCAGGCTGATGCTCTATCCACTGAGCCAAACTGGTCAGGGCAGTTATAGGTTCTTGCTGTTCATAACGTTGAATATTTCTTGCCACTCCTGTCTAGCATGCATAGTTTCTGTTGAGAAATCAGCTGATAGTCGTATGGGTGCTCCCTTGTAGGTAACTGTTTTTCTGTTGCTGCTTTTAACATTATCTCTTTGTCTTTTGATCTTGGCATTTTAATTATGATGTGTCTTGGTGTGGTCCTCTTTGGATTCTTTTTGTTTGGGATTCTCTGTGCTTCCTAGATTTGTAAGTCTATATCTTTCACCAGATGGGAGAAGTTTTTGGTCATTATTTCTTCAAATAATTTCTAGTTGGTCCTTTTTCATATCTTCAAGGGTCTCGCTAAATTTAATGGCCTTTTCTAGAAAATTCTTGAAAAACCTTATAACCGTGGTTTTGAACTCTATATCCAGTCATTTGCTTTCCTCCATTTCTTTCATTTGTGACCTGTTTCTTTGTCTCTGCATTTTGGCTGTTTCCCTGAGTTAGTAGAGTGGCTCTGTGTGCCAGGTGTCCTATAGGGCCCAGTGGCTCAGCCTCCCCAGTTACCTGAAGTGAACACTCTTGGTGCACCCCTTTGTGGGCTGAGTGCACAGTCTTGTTGTAGTTAAGCCTTGATTGTTTTTGGTATCACTGGGAGGAATTGACCTCTAGGCCACTTGGCTGTGAGGATCAGCTGTGTCTACGCTGGGAGAACTTCTGTGCTGGAGACACCCTTATGAGATAAGACTTGCAAAAACCTCTGTGCTCAGCTTGGATGGGACAGAGTCTCAGGGCAAAGCAGACAGACTTGGTTTCCCATCAGCCTTGCCCTAATAGGCCCCTGTGTCTCAGTGTCCCATGGTAATTGCTGCAAGCACCTCTGAGAGAAAGCCGCCCTCGAGTTTCGCCCACTGCCAGACAGTCCACTTTCTCCCCAAATGAGTCTGTGTCCCCAGAGTCTTGCCCAGAACTGGAGTTTAGTGCAGTTGGGAGCTTCTGTCTCCCTCCTGCTTGAGAAAGTCAGCTGCATACTCCATTGCCCACCCTCTCCATGCGTGTGCCTTGGTACCTCTGCCTTCCACAGTTCTGAGTCTCAGTGTGCTTTTCTCTTTCTTTCTTTCTTTTTAAAAAAATATATTTTATTGATTTTTTACAGAGAGGAAGGGAGAAGGATAAAGAGATAGAAACATTGATGAGAGAGAATCATCGATCAGCTGCCTCTTGCACACCCGCCACTGGGGATGTGCCCGCAACCAATGTACATGTCCTTGACCGGAATCAAACCTGGGACCCTTCAGTCCACAGGCCGATGCTCTATCCACTGAGCCAAACCGGTTTTGGCGCTTTTCTCATTCTTTTTTTTTTTTTTTTTCTTCTTTAATATATAACTTTATTTCTGGTTGCTTTTCTCATTCTTGACAGTCCAGTTTCACCCCATATGAGTCTGGGTCCCCAGAGTCTCGCCCAGAACTGGAATTCAGCGCAGTCGGGAGCTTTTCTCTCCTTCCTGCTTGAGAAAAACAGTCGCGCACTCAGTTGCCAGTCCTCTCTACACGCGCGCTTGTCTTAGGACCTCTGCCTCCGGTAGTTCCTCTGAGTCTCTGTGTGCTTTTCTCTTTCCTTCTAGTTGTAGAATTTCCACTCATCCAGTCTTTCTGTGGTTCTGGAGAATGTCCGTTTTGCCTTTTAGTTGTAGTTTTGAAATTGTTGTGCGAGGCAGCAGTTTAGGTGTTTACCTATGCTGCCATCTTGTTTTTTCCCTATCATTATAAAAAACTGTCTTTTATTAGAATGCTGTTCTAATTTCCCTTTAATATTAGTCTCATTCATTTTGTTCCCCCATTGTCTATAAAATAGAGCTTCATATACAGTGGCATTAATAAGAATTTACTCAAAGAATAACTACTCTAAGTGAGAACATCCAGAAATGTTCTGACTATTGGCTAACCAGTAGTCTTCTTAGACTAATATACCAAGGGCAAACAACCTGAGATCTTAGGTTGTTTCTGTCACTCTCACATAAGATAGAGAAGTAAGATGGCTAGGCCCTGTCCCTTCATTCTTCCACTTCCCCTATAGTGGAACCCAGCACCGGTCCAAAGTAGACCCTCAGACAGATATCCTGAATGAAATAAATTTGAAGGCATAAATGCTCCAATCTCTTGATGTTCTCAAGAAGCTACTGGAGCTCAGGAGGAAAGTTCTGAAGCCAATAGACTTTGGAGATAAATTAGACTATTTGCAGAGACACTGGAGGTGAGAAGGGAAAGGTGCCATGGGACTAAATGAAGCAGGTATAGTGCCCTGAGGCTACATCCTAGAAGACAAGATGCTAGAGGTTTAAATGAAGAGTGCCTTGTCATTGCTTGGTCAAATTTCTAATTCCAGACTAAAATTCTGTGTAGAGAAGAGAGTAATTAATTTCCAAGAGATATGTTCAAATCCTAGGGCTTGGAAAAGGAGGGATGACAGAGCTGGGATTAAAGAAGCATTACAGAAAGTAGAATGTACTAGTCATTATTCCTGAAAATGAATACATAGCCACACACATTACAAATATGATCATTTACTATGGTTTGGAGTATCAGGTAATAAAGGCGTAGTAGAGTGACACAGACATGAGGCAGGCAGACAAGTGCTAGCCTGTAACGTACAGAGAAAAACACACTCCTGCCACTGCTGCCAATAAAGCTCAGC